AGCTGAGGAGAATTAGTACTTACTCAGGGCTGAAACACATTAGAACCTAAATAGAAAATTCTATTGGCAAAGAGATAGAAGAGAAAGAAAGGGCGACCAGAGTTTAGGGTGAGTTTAAAGATCCTGGTACATAAGAATCTTCTTTATTTGTGCTTGCCTCCCTACCTAGATGGTATATGTCTCATGTCATTTTTTTATCCCCAGTATTTTGTCTCCTACAGAGAATGCATGCGGGAACACGCACAGACTCTAATAATTAGTAAAGACATATTTAAAGTTGTTTTCCCACTTTCCTACCTAAGCCATCTTATGACAGTTGGATTTATGTTCAAGAGAGTTTCATTCTCCCTGAGGCTGCAAATAGACACTATAGAAAAGATCAGATCAGACTGATGCCCCTAGAGACAGTTAAGGTGAACAAAACCTGCTTCATATTGCAGACACTTCTCTCAAGGGTAGGTGGGATTATAGAGTGGGGCAAAAAGAGTTTTGTAAGTAGGAGAAACACAGACTTCATTCTTGTACTATTAGTTATTAACTATCCTATTCTTTTTCCATAGGAACAACTCTAAGCCTACTTTTGCCCCACCCTGAATGGCTCTAACTACCTTGAAAGCAAAGAGAAATAGTCCCCATTTCCATTTATTAGAGGAGACAATGCCTAGGAAAGAAGGTCACTTAATGAACAAATGAATCACACTCTGGAATCTTCTTCCACTGCAGATTGATAAGAAGACAATAAATAATGTTAAATATAAGTATACACACTTAATCACCACCCTTTGCAAGAGGAGAAATTCCTCAGAAGCCTGTGTTAACAGAGGGATTGTTATTTTCTAGACTCTTCCATCCTGAATGCCTTGCATAACCTGAGATAAAGCTCAAGTGAATGCAGCCAGCTGCCCAGAATGAATGCAGTCAAGTGAGAAGTTGCAGAGCTCAGGGCAATATTAGGGGTTAATATGGAAAGAGCTTCAGTTCCTAAATTCCATCATGGGCATGGAATGTATTCCAGGGGGTGCTCACAGCCAGGCAGATGATGTCAGATACTAGTTTCAGAAATAACAAGGGTTGAGTGACTCATGACATATTATTAATCCCCACCCCTGGCAATCCTCTGGCCCCAGAAGCTGTATTTATTGGACCTAATCAAATGGAAATATAACAGGGCATGGGATATAAGAATGAGGAGTTAAGAATAGACCAGCTTTGAGGCTTTAGGCAGAAAAGGAGAGAATAATGGAGAAAATTAATATACATATTTAGAAAAAATCTCCATAAATGAAGAAAAAACATATAAGGAAACTAATATGCATTCCAAGAAAGAGGACAATTTTGGAAATATGTGAGTTTCCTCAAAATATGCTTTTGTTGGGAGACTTCCATGTCTAAAAATATTATTTATTGTAAGAATGAACAAGTTTACTTTGGAGAGATTCTGTTGGGTTTAGATGTTAGACAATAAACACAACACACACACACACACACACACCTCCCATTTTTTTAGGTTTCTTTTTCAAATTCCTTTGAATCTCACAAACCTCTGCCTTACTATGTCTTTCAAAACATTAACTGATTGTCCTAGCTGGTTTGGCTTAGTGGATAGAGCATCAGGCTGCGATGGAAGGGTCCCAGGTTCGATTCTGGTCAAGGGCACATGCTTGGGTTGCGGGCTAGGTCCAATGTGCAGGAGGCAGGCAATCAATGATTCCCTCTCTTCGCTGATGTTTCTATCTCTTTCTCTTTGAAATCAATAAAAATATATTTAAAAAAAACATTAACTGATCAACATGTTTTAAGTACATTAAATTCTTTCTATTTGTTCTTTGAATGATAAATGCAATTGCAAGTAGCCCTCCCTTAAGTTCAGTAGGTAAACAACTGTCTTTTACATTTCATTTCCACTATCCCCTTTGCTTTTATGCAGCAAAGACCTTTATTTCTACAAACTTTGAGGCAATTATAAATGGCAAATTAATTATCTAGCACCAGGAACTTTCTAGATTATCTGGTCAGCATTTCTGCTTTTGCAAACACATTTGTGTGTTTGGAATGCCCCATTTTTCACAACAGTGTGGTGAGGATCAAGTGTGTGGGGGGGGGGGGAGGTGTGTGGGCTGGCTGGAGGTGGGCAAAGGGAGAGAAAAAGGGGAACATCTGTAAATAGTGTCAACAATAAAAATTTTAAATGTAATGAAAGAGAGAAGATGTCCTATTTTTCCAGGAGAGAAAAGTAATTATGCCACCTACTCAATCACCTTTCAGTGCATTTACTAGGGTCTTTTGGAACTCAAGAGTGCCATCTTTTTGTTATGCTGATAATTGGGTATACTGACATCCATTTTCTTTGTTCCCTGTCTCCACCAGGCAGATCTTGTCCATTTCAACAACATTTTGACAGTTTTCTTTAATGTCATCTTTAGACTCACTATTTTAAAAGATGATAGAAGCTTATAGAGTATTGATAAGAGAAAATCTCTAATGCAGAAAACAGACTTCCATTTTGTATTGATGGTGGTCTTGTCTTGAAAGTTATTTATTACTAGAGGCCCATTGCATGAAGATTCCTGCAATAGGCCTTCCTTAACCTGGCTGCTGGCACCGGTTTTCCTCTGGCACCTGGGACCCAGGCCTTCTCTCTGGCTGCCGCCTTCTGCCTTCACTCTAGCCAGAGTCTTCACTGATTCCAGTCAGAATCTGCAGGTTTCTTAATGACTCTGGCAGGAGCCTGCAGACTTCACTTCACTCCAGGCAGAGTCTTCGTTTCCCTCCTGCTGGAGCACTGCTCCTGTAGCTCCCTCCATCTTCCACCCTCCCCCTCATAGCAGGCATCCTGCCCTGCCTGGCAGCTCAGTGCCTGGAGCAACTGAGAGGGGAAGGAGGGGCACTGCCATCTTTGTTCTGCTTATTTGAATATTCCATCCTGATTGGCTGGGTGTTGTGGAGGTACAGACAATTTACATATTTATCTTTTATTAGTGTAGATTAATCTTACAAAAATAATTTGTTAAGAAATTGGCGACTTCTTAAGTGAAACAGGAATAGTTGTGCTTTCATTCCTGCCAGCACTTCTCAGGTTATTACAATTATAATTCTCATCACTTCACAGGAATATTTCATTTCTGTTGACAAAGATTTTTTTTTATAAAGTTTATTTTGTTGTTGTGGTTGTTGCTTGTGCTTTTGGTCTTTTATCCAGGTTACACTGCTAATTCCAGGTTACGAAGATTTACCCTATGCTTTAAAAGTTTTCTACATTTTTTTAAAGCTATGTGAGCATAGTCTTTATTAAAATCTTACATTTAGAAGCTTAATCCATTTTAAATTTTTGTATATGATGTCAGATAGGGGTCTAATATCATTATTTCACATGTGGCTAACCAATTGCCCCAGCACCATTTGTTTATTTAAAGAATGATTCTCTCTGCAGTGTCTTGTTTTGGCATCCTTGTTGTAAGTCAATTGACCATGAACATTTCTGGACTCTCAGTTCTATTCCAGTGTTCCATATGTCTATCCTTATGCCAGTACACTTGTCTTGATTACTATAGCTTCACAGTTAAGTTTTCAAATTGGGAAGTGTGAGTCCTCCAAGTTTGTTCTTATTTTTTTTAAGACCCTTTTGGATATTCTGGGCCCTTTACATTTTCATGCTAATTTGAGGACCAGCTTGTGAATTTGTGACAAAAAGCCAGCTAGAATTTTGATGAAAATTGTCAATAGATATTCCAGAAGACCCTTCTCACAGGTAAAAGAAAGGTTCATCTATGGCTTACAAGGCGAGGTAGCCTTCAGCATAGACCAAAAGTATATTCTGAAGAGGAAGGGGTAGGTCACAGGACTTAAGTGCATTGGTACAGTGACCTGATCTTTAAAGGGATTGTTTGGGGCAAGTATCAAGACAGTGAGTATGTGCAAGCAGAATAGAGATTGGAAGGTAGAGTCATGAGATATGGCGAAGATTAGAGTCATAAGATATGGCCAATAGGGGCAGGTCACAAGGCATGGTCAGTAGGGGGTAGTCGCAAGGCATGAGCCAATGTCTCAGTTTCCCTTCAAGTCTGCAAAATTAACTGATATAATAAGTATTGTGACTAAAGGGACAATGCAAGGAATGCAGGTCCTCATGTAAATAGTCAGAATTCAAATTGCAAAACTCTTTAGTCATTCAATCAGGGCTAGAGATTAAATTGCAGGAAGGTTTAGATGTTTGATCTTAGATATTAGAATCTTCAGGATTGAACTTTAGGTCAATTTGGGAAGTAATACTATCTTAATACTAAATCTTTCACCCCATGAATATGGGATGTCTTTTTATATATTTAGGTTGTGTTTAATTTTTTAAACAATGTTTTGTAATTATTTGAGTATAAGTTTTTCACTTCTTTTGTCAAATAAGTTATTGCTATAAAACAGCACTTTTTGAGAAGAGGATGTTTAGCTTTTCTAAGTATTTGTACCTTGGACAAACATGACAAGAGGAGTTGACTTATATAATAATAACCTGTCAACAGTACTCCTTCATAGAAACTGTCAGAATTATATTCAAGTTATAATCCTGGGTCTTCCATTTACTAGCTTCAGAAACTTGGGTAAATGAATTCCTCTATACCATTTTCATTATCTGAAAATAAGCTTTTTTGTTTGTTTTTAAAGTTAGTAATCCCAAGAAGTCTTTGTAACAAATGTAGTAATGTATGAAGGGTTCAAAAAACTACACGTGGCACATAGTAAGAAGTTAATAAAAATGAATTATTGCTATTGTTACAATGCTTTCTTTCTTACATTTTCTCTTCCCCAAAACCACTTCTAGGAAGTCACAACTGCATTAAGGGTTGTCCCACTACCTTCTGGTATACGGAGGTAGAAGAAAGACTGAGAACAACTATTCCATCTCTTAGACACAGTGTTTTCTTATTGTTGAAGAGCCTGTCTAGGAAGCCAGCAATGTCTTCTTTGCTTCATGGGATTCTGGGGTTCATTTTGTTGGTGTTTTACAGCTGGCCAGCTGGCTGGAAACTCCTCCGTCGAGATGTACCGTCAAGTGCTCCTGTCCGGTTGTCGCTGTGTGGAGTTGGACTGCTGGAAAGGACGGACTGCAGAGGAGGAACCAGTCATCACCCATGGGTTCACCATGACAACAGAAATATCCTTCAAGGTAGAGTGAATGATTACTGTTAACAGAGGCAACTGGGGAAGGAAAGCCTACTAAAGTATAAAGCCCTGGTGGCTACAATGAAATCCATAGACCTTGAATCATTTCTGCCATTCCAGAAGTTACAGTTTAGCAACTTATTCATGGATAATGGGCACCACCTGAATTGACTCTTACCAAATCTAAGCTGTTTTATGAAAAGAAATGTCAATTTATTTATTTAGCACTCTTATTCTTTTATTCTTGCATTTTAACATTGTGAAATGTAACATAAAAATACATACAATTTATTTGTGCATGTTAGTGCACCAATAAAACAAGAAATAGAAATTTATTGGTACCCTAGAAAAATCTTGTGTACCCATTTCCATCAGAATGACCTCCTTACCCCAGAGAAGATCACCAGACCACCTTCCTGACTACTACAGTAATCGCTCTTTGCTTTCCTTTAGAGCTTATCTCGTTTATGTACAGCTCTCAACAACATAGTTTCACCACATTTTAAACTTGTAAGTGGACTCATACTCTAGTGTGCATTATTCTGTTTCTTGTTTCTTTTACTCCACATCTTTGTGAGATTTCATCAGTATTACTGCATGTATCTCTAGCTTTTCGCTTTCTAGATGATGATGCTGATATTAATAGCTACTATTAATTATCATACAATATTTTATTCTGAGATGCCAGAATGGTATATTGACTATTACATGCCAGTTTGTAGCACGTTGATACCTAGGGGCTCAAAAACCCCTAAGAACATACCTGTAAGTCAAAGTTGGGCTTAGTGACTTATGCAATAAGGGAGCACACATGCCATGGGGAACTGTGGTGTCTCCGTACAAGTGTGTTAAATAAGACTTACAGCCCAAACTGGTTTGGCTCAGTGGATAGAGCATCAGCCTGTGGACTCAAGGGTCCCAGGTTCAATTCTAGTCAAGGGCATGTACCTTGGTTGTAGGCACATGTCCAGTAGGGTGTGTGCAGGAGGCAGCTGATCGATGTTTCTCTCTCATTAATGTTTTTAACTCTCTATCCCTCTCCCTTCCTCTTTGTAAAAAAAATCAATAAAATATATTACATTAAAAAAAGAAGACTTACAGGATTAGGTGATATGAGAGAGTGGGGCTCAAAGAAGCAAGGTTTTTCTATGGATTTCTGTCAGGAAGCAGAGATAATCATATGATTAGATAACAATAAATCCTACCTAGTAGGCAGGACTAAAGCTGTAATTTATAACAAGCATCAGCCATTCTTACTAGCTAGGAATAGCCAACTCCCTTCTTTCCATATATGGCTTCATCCTACACCCAAAAGAGCCCCACATTCATGCATTTAGACACCGGAGTTCATTTCTCCTGCAAAGAACCATTCTCAGGAGCTTAGAACCACTTGGGAGGGAATATCTGGGATCCTTGGTACCCAGAAAGTGATCTAGAAAGGGGATATGTTGCTATACAAGTTTTCTTGGCTGTCTCAGATTTCTCACATCTTTGGAAGGGAATTAGTGGAAAAGGGCCAGAGGACAAACACCCCCCCCCCCATTTTCAATGGCCATGTTGCCACTATACCTTGGTTCCCCAAATACCTGGGTTCTGTTTTTTTGGTTGATTAAGGCAAGAGTTAGTGACCTTGAGTCAGTTCTGCCCTGAGCACCAGGCAACCCTGGCAAGGGGGCTTACATGATGGGACCTGTGTTTATAGGGGTGAGTTAGATGTTTATGTCACCAAGATTAGACACAAAGCTTTGGATGAAGAAGCAGAGGACAGTGAGCCACTTGCCAAAGTCTTTGTTGAATGAATGGAGCTCAGTAGATAGCAGATAAGGACACTGTAAAAACTGTCTTGGCTGCTTCATGAGAACTGGGTTTTTATTTCATTTTAAAATAAAATTGGGAAGTTATGTTTCAGAAGTAGCATTAGGAGCAACAAATTCTCAGTCTCCAGCTTTTAGGCCTCAGGCACTTGCAATGTGATAAACAGCTACCACTTCAGAGAGCATCAAAAAAGATAAAAGATTTTACAGAACAGCCAGGTTTCAGTTGGGGTAAATGGTGTCCTGATCAAAGGTACTAAGTTTGACAGCAATAAAATGTGTTCAGATATATCACTAGCACCTTAAAATGTGTTAAGTATGTTGTATCTAGGAAATCTAAGTTTTTATGATTTCTTAAAATGAAGTTTCAGTATAATAATTAGAGAAAAATAGCACTCTTCACTAAATTTTACAACAAAGTTTAATATACGGTTATCTTAATTCTGATCAAAATCTTCAAAAGTTGTATCTGCTCCTGAAATTGACCACCCTTAAGGTCTTTTTGTTTTCTTTAATGGAAAATCAAAGTTTTTTTGTTTCATTTTCATAGTCTCTCACCCTCTCAAGTTCCTGCCAATGTCCTTTGTCAGACATCTAAGATACCAACCCCAATCTGGTTGGACTTTTATTACTATTTTTTAATCCTTAGGTTTCACTCCAGGAGTGAGGATATGTATTCCCCCCACCCATTGATTTTTTTTTTTTTTTAAGAGAGTGGGTAAGGGGAGAGAGAGAAAAATATTGATGTGAGAGAGACACAATGATTGTATCTCCTGCTCAAACTCCGACCAGGGCCAGGGATTGACCGGCAACCAAGGTACATGCCCATGATTAAAATTGAACCCATGACCCTTCAGTTATGGGCTAATCTCTAACCACTGAGAAAAACTAGTCAAGGCCTATTGAACTCTTCAAGGAAAAGTGGAGGACAGATGACATTGGTGTGGGGTGAGCAATTTGGGCTCATCTGTCTGTTGATGGGTGGAGATGATCCTGATGGAATCATTATTGAGCTAAGGGATCAATGGCCTTGTGCACTGACCCCTTCCCAGGATGGCCCACCCACCCCCTTTCCCCTTGCTCATGTGAATGCATTTGTTTTTGTTTTTTATTATTAAGGAAATATATTTTCTTGAGAGCTTGTTTGGAGGTTCTAGCAGGGGAGCGCAGCTACTCGTATACCCTTGATTGAAGACCAGTCCTCTCCTCTTGGGGGAAAGTCGTCCTCTTCGACCGAGCGCGCAGCTTCGGGAGGGACGCACATGGATCGGTGAGGGAGGAGGGGGACACCCGCCTAGCCAGCCAGATCAGCCGAATCAACCCTGGCGATCAATGGGGTGACAGATGTCGCAGCCAGATCGCCCTCACATCCAAGGAAATATATTTTCTTTAAAATTTATAATCCTCAAGGTTCTTTTTTTCTTCTAAGGCGTATTTATTTTATGTGGAGCATTGACTTTTTGGCCTCGGCCATCAAGTTGGCGTAGAGTGACTCTCCCTGTGCACTCGACCGTACAAGTGGTTCTTCAATCTTATGTATGATCGCAGAGCCACGGGCTGATTGAATGTCTAGTCCCCAGCTCCAGAGACACCACTTCTCAACCACATCCGCACACTTGCTGACAGATTCAGAAACTAAAGACTAAATCTAGCCCAGAATACTTTCTCTCCCTGCTGGACCTTGGGGAATGGGGTGGCCAAAGAGAACAGCAAACCCATATCCCCTGATGGTTGGTTTGCCCAGCCATGCTTCCTGCTGATATGCCTTTGGAGGATAGATCATTCTTGCAAAGATATGGGTAGTGATGGTGGACAAGGATAAGTATTGGGTGTAGAAATGCCGGCCTGTTTTGTGGACAAATATACAGAGCAGGAATTTTCTACTTCGGGACTGGCACTACAGTGAGCTCCTCCCATGGAAATATAAGGAGGTGCTTACTCTCAGTGCCACATAAATGCAGAGCTGTCGCCTGAGAAATGTGGGGCTAGGCCCTATGTGATCGGTCTTATCCTCCGCCCCTTATCATTCCCTCACTCACTCAGCCACCACTTCACTGGCCTCCTTCCTGATCCTTGATCATGGTAGGCCGGTCCCACCTCACAGCCTGTTCCCTGCCTGGAGTGCCCTTCCCCCAGGTGTCTGTACGGTACACCTCTTATCTCCTTGAAGCCTTTCTCAGATGCCACCTTCTCGGGGGCTACTGGGAGCACTCTATGTAATCATGTAACAGCCTCCACATGCCTGAGGCACTCCCCACCTCCTCTTTATTTTTCCTATTTACCACCTTCTACCACTCTTTTTAGTTTACTTAATTATGATCCCTGTTTATTGTCTGTCTCCTTTTACTGGTGTATAAGGTCCACAAAGACAGGATCTATATATATATATATATATATATATATATATATATATATATATATATATATTGTTTTGTTTTGTTTTGTTTACAGAGAGGAAGAGAGAGGGATAGAAAGTTAGAAACATAGATGAGAGAGAAACATCAATCAGCTGCCTTTTGTACGCCCACAACTAAGGTATATGCCCTTGACCAGAATTGAACTCGGGACCTTTCAGTCCTCAGGCTGACAGTCCTCAATAAACATGTTTTAAAATGAAATCTTCCATTCTAAAGAAGAAAAAAAGACATGTAATTTGCATATCTTTCATTTTTAGTCTTTCTGGCCTCAGTTGATCAGATAAATGAATTTTGTCTTTCTCTGTTTTCACATGTCTTTCTTTGTTTTCCAAGTACAATATATTGGAAGGTAGTGTAAAGATTCTTTCAATGTTTGCCAGTTTGATCCTCCCTATGTATTTGGATATGACCTTCACAGTCTAATTAGACTAGCCACAGCGTGTTCTACAGTAGCCACATAAACTGATAGTTGAAGTTTGTCATTTTTAAGTCACACAGTTTATCTGCTCTTAGCCTTTGTAATCAGGAAAGCTTCTGGGCAATATATTCCCCAAAGCGAGCATCCTATTTGCAGTTGCCTACTATTTATTGTATGAGCCAAAATAAAAGGTTATGTTCTGGGAAAGGGGACAGGCTGTAATTCATTCTCTTTCTGGAGAGCCTTTTATTTTGCACGAGGGATTTACTTATTATTTATCCCATTTATCTGCCCTTCTGTTTCTCTGCCTCATTACCTTAGCCTTTCTGATGGTCCTGACATAGTAATTCGCCAC